GATGTGAGTTTTTTTGGTGAAGAGTTTGGAACTAGAAGACTTATTCAAATAATATCAGATAGTACGCTTTTAGCTTGTATGAGCATGGTACCTAAAAGCAATAGTAGGGTGATAGTTTTGTACTTGAAAGTAGTGAGTCTGACTTCAAGCCAAGTGGAGAATGATAGCAGTGATCAGAATATTGTTGTTCTGAGGATGATGATAGCAGTGATCCAGACTTTGAAGACAGTGACTATGCACTAGAGGTGTCAAACGGGACGGGAAGTGTCAATGTTGCATAATTTGCAAAGAAAAGAAAACATATTTAATAATTTTATTATGAGAAATGAAATGAAAATAGGTTTTCAATTTGTGAAGCCCTAACAGACCCATGTGCATGCATAAAATGAAGTATAGCAATCTAATCTCAAAGGCCAATTATGTCATTTGAAGAATTTTTTTATATATAAAATCCTCGATCTTTGGATGAAAAATCAATGAAAAAGAAATTTTTTTGAAAACAATTTAAAACCTTGGGGGGTGTTGGTGTAATTTCTAAAACCTCTAGGAGTTTTGTGAAAAAGTCGAAAACCTCAAAGAATGTTAGTGTAAATAACTCAACTATATATTCGCACACCATCACTAGATGAGCCATAAATTTATTGATACCATATTTTGAAAATGCATTTACTTTTGAATCCACAGCCCAAATAACACTTTTATTGATAATGGATAGTCTTTACAATGTGATTGATGAATGTGGTTTATGTAATTTCATTAAATAAATGGAGGAAAATAAAACAATGCTCTAAGAAAAATTGAGAAGACCCTTATAAGACATTCTAAATCCTTAATTTATAGTACGGTTTTCGAATTTACCCTTTTTAAATTACCTAACCCTAAGTCCCAGCTACCCAATGATACCCCCTCGAATTAGGTCTAATAGGACATCCTGCTCTTTTTGTCCCGTGGCATTGTCCTTCATGATGTACCACGTAACATCCGACATCGACCAACGGAGAGGAGGTGATGTGCCTTATATGTACATACCCGCCTCCATCTAGCACGAGGCCTTTTGGGAGCTTACTGGCTTCGGAGTCATGGGAACTCCAAAGTTAAGTGAGCTGGGGCTAGAGCAATCCTAGGATGGGTGACCCACTGGGAAATTGTTCGTGAGCTCCCAAAAACAAAAACGTGAGGGCAGAGAGGGGGGCCCAAAGCGGACAATATCGTGCTACAACGGAGCCGATCCCGAGATGTGACAATTTGGTATCAGAGCCACTCTGCTGTATAGTGCGAGTGTGCCGACGAGAACGTCGGGCCCCTAAGGGGGGTGGATTGTAACATCCCACATCGACCAACGGAGAGAGTGTGATGTGCCTTATATGTACATGCCCACCTCCATCTAACATGAGGCCTTTTGGGAGCTCATTGGCTTCGAAGTCATGGGAACTCCGAAGTTAAGCGAGTTGGGGCCAGAGCAAATCCTAAGATGGGTGACCCACTGGGAAGTTGCTCGTGAACTCTCAAAAACAAAACCGTGAGGGCAGAGAGGGGGGCCCAAAACGGACAATATCGTGCTACGGTGGAGCTGATCCCGGGATGTGACATACCATCTATCAAACAATGCAACGGGTTCCTTAGCCACAAAATATCAGTGTCCTGTTACAAATAAAAGGTGCATTCTTGTTTAGAATATACCAAGCATATGTTATATTTTGTTATCAAACTGTGAATTGAAAACACAGGCCCATAAATAATTTGTGATCTATCATAGATTCGAAGCTAATCAAATTTAAGACATGTTGAGCTTTGTGTGTAACCCATATCATATGTCAACCAATATCCGTATTCACAGGGCATTGGACGATGATATTTTTCTCAATTCAAGCATGTGATGCACGAGTCATTGTCCCCCAACAAGAATCAGGTTCAGGTTGTATGCTTACCCCAAGAGATACTCACAACGACTTAATGAAGGAGCAAGAAATCAAGAAACATATGAACATTTAAGAGATAGGGAAAGAAAGGTCCTATACTCTTAATTTTCAAAGAAAAAAAAAAGAGTTGAATTGTCATTGTCAATCACAGCTCCATCATTGGGGCCGTTTGATTAATTTGCATGGTGGAGAAAATTCTTAAAGAGCCGTACAAGAAGGGCACTCGAAGATGACTTCTCCAACCCATAAAATTCCTGCAAGACTTAGTCTCCAGAATTTGTGAATTTTGAAAGTTATATATTGACCATTTTACGGAATTTGACGTCCTATGTTTCATCTGTAGTTTCTAATAAAATAACACGGGATCTATTGTTATGTGATAAATTACGCGCCCTTGCCTATGTTTTCATTGAATTTTGACTAATTTATTGAATTAGTTGAACTGCCAGCTTAATGCCCAGTCAGGTGTCCACTTTCTTTTTTGTCGGGAAGAGTGACAAAAGAGTACACAGCAAAAAAAAGAAATATGAAAAAGAAATCATAAGATATTTGATTAAAAAAGAGTACACACTTTCTTTTATTATCTTTAATTTATGATGTGCAAGAAGGATAAGATGATGATTATGATAATGATGAGGGTTAAAAAGGCTTAGAGCATCCACAGTGGAGAGTGTATATGGAGGTGTATGTTAAATATACATCCCGAGTCACCGGAATCGTCTCCAATGGTGAGATGTAAATGGATGTAAATATACATCACCACCATAGGGATGTAAAATAAAATGTATATTTACATTCATTTTTACATCATTTGCAGGCGGGACCCACCTGAGAAAAGAGAAGAAAAATGAAGAAAAGTCAACATAAAAGGCTAGGACCCACGGCTACACCCCTGAATTTACACCCTCCACTGGAGCAAAAAACATATTTACAACCGCGGAGGTGTAAAGGGGATGTAAAAGTGGCTTTACACCCCCGAATTTACACCCCCCACTGTGGATGCTCTTACAATGCAGCAACTGTGTCCTAGACAAACCCCCAAGGGAGAGATCAACACGGCGATCAGAATTTCACAGAAGATCTCACAGTGACTCGGCATCTTCCTTGCTAAAACCAAACCAAATCAAACCACACAACACCACAAACATAGAGAGTCTTTGAGTCTTGAGTTGACTTGCCTGGCCTCTGGGCTCTGGGTTCTGGCTATAATATTGCCTATATATTGGGCCTCAATTTAATTATATTGGGTCATATTATATATTTTCAGGGCCAAAGCCCATCAAAATTATTGTTTAGTAATTTGATGCAACAATTAAGAGATAGACTTCATCTAAGACCCTCATTATAGAATGACTCGCTTGCCGCAACACTTTATTTTATAGGGAATACTCAAAGATGCGTTTCCATGAAGAGGCTGCCGTGAAATAAATAAATAGCGTCATTGAATTGGACTGGATGAATGTAACAGTAGTCAGTAGTCAGTAGACATATACGCATACACAAATTAAAGGGGCATGAGTGACTGTCTAAAACACAACAACAACGGATGTATCTATCTATTGATGGACAGACCGTTTCAATTTTCATGTCGTTGAAATGAGGCCATTCATTAAGTGAACAACCGGTTCATCCAGTACTCCTTTGCTATAAATGACAAACCCAAAACTCAGAAAGGGATGTTATACCTTTTTCGAATCTATCGGGGGAGGTTTTCTCATTTCAGAACCTTGGGATGCATGTGCATGTGAAGCTAGTGTACGTCATGAACAAACTAAGGTATGCAATTCCTAGCCCTAGCTTTTTATATTTTATACAAGTGTTACTGGAAGAGGGGATTCCAACACAGTCCGAGTACATGAGTAACTGCTTTTAACCACTTAAAATTATAAGCCTCTTACTCTAGAGCTCTAGACATTTTCACTTTAGGTTCAATTCAACTAGTTTACTTACTTGATCTTTGCAAAATCCTTGAGCAACACCCTAACAATGCCCTTACCCCGGAAATTCTTTAGTTTTTCAGGTTATTATTTTTGGAAGTCTAAGGTCTGAGAAAATCTCTTGCTCCAACATCTATACTCTTATATGGGTAGTCTTTCCACACGCGCTTCCGGGCCTACAAGAGGTTTTTTTAAAAAAAAATTTAAATTTATTTTAGAATTAAAAAAGATAATGGGTAGTTGTGTTCCATAAAAATAGAATCCATTATCTGATTTGTCTTTTTTTTAAAATTTTTTTAATATGAAAAAGTGCGAATTTACCATATTATCCTCATTTAATTAATAATTTCAATTCTTAATGTTTGCATTAACTATGGGCATTTTCTGGTATTTTCAATGTTTCACCATTCTTTGACTTTTGCTTTATATATATAGATTCTTCATTGGATGCACAATATTTATAATCATTTTCAAAGTATGATACTGATAAAGAAATGATATGAGGGATTCCATTTCTTTGTATTTGTGGGGGAAGTGTCAATGTTGCATAATTTGCGAAGCAAAGAAAACATATTTAATAATTTTATTATGAGAAATGAAATGAAAATAGGTTTTCAATTTGTGAAGCCCTAACACACCCATGTGCATGCATAAAATGAAGTATAGCAATCTAATCTCAAAGGCCAATTATGTCATTTGAAGAATTTTTTTATATATAAAATCCTCGATCTTTGGATGAAAAATCCATGAAAAAGAATGTTAGTGTAATTTCTAAAACCTCTAGGAGTTTTGTGAAAAAGTCGAAAACCTCAAAGAATGTTAGTGTAAATAACTCAACCATATATTCGCACACCATCACTAGATGAGCCATAAATTTATTGATACCATATTTTGAAAATGCATTTACTTTTGAATCCACAGCCCAAATCACACTTTTATTGATAATGGATAGTCATTACAATGTGATTGATGAATGTGGTTTATGTAATTTCATTAAATAAATGGGGGAAAATAAAACAATGCTCTAAGAAAAATTGAGAAGACCCCTATAAGACATTCTAAATCCTTAATTTATAGTACGGTTTTTGAATTTACCCTTTTTAAATTACCTATAAATTTATTTTGATAATAATGAGAAAAGAAGAAGCGATAACCTAAGATGTATTCAACGAACTATTTGTCTGGAGGCTTATATTGGTAGAGAACTTACCCTTACACCTAGGAAAAAAAAACAAACTATTTGTTTCTTTTATGATTAATCTTTCTCTTTAGACCATTCATGCCTTATGAGTTGCTTTCTCAGTGTTATTAGGAACTTTCCATGAATTCCAGCATCCCCAGTGGCCTGACCATTGGAAACCATCTGCTGCTAAACCGGCAGTTGTTTTCTGGGCCGTGGTCTTCTTGAACCGCTTCCAGTCCCGGAGGACAGCCTTCAAGTCCTTAACCTTGGCCACGATGCTCCGGCAACAGTTGGCATGGACGGTGGTCACTGCCCCAAAGTCCTTGCTATCTTGGCAAAAGCCACTGAAATAGAGGGTGTCCAAGAACCTAACCCTAAGTCCCAGCTCCCCAATGATACCCCCTCGGATTAGGTCTAATAGGACATCCTGCTCTTTTTGTCCCGTGGCATTGTCCTTCATGGTGTACCATCTATCAAACAGTGCAATGGTCTTATTGTTCGATTTGATGTGGTAGAAGCCAGTGTTGATTAGCTGTTTTTCGTTCCATGGATCTCCGAAGAACATATCTGTGCTTATTTGTAAATCCTCAGTTTCGTTCATGTTTAGTCTTGAGAACGGGTTCCTTAGCCACAAAATATCAGTGTCCTGTTACAAATAAAAGGTACATTCTCGTTTAGAATGGTACATATTGAAAATATGATAAAATATGTCAAATTATTTTGAAAAGAAAAAATTATCGTATATGTAATACAATATACTAGGCATATGTTATATTCTGTTATCAAACTGTGAATTGAAAACTCACGCTCATAAATAATTTGTAATCTATCATAGATTCGAAGGTAATCAAATTTAAGACATGTTGAGCTTTGTGTGTAACCCATATCATATGCCAACCAATATCCGTATTCACAGGGCATTGGACGATGATATTTTTCTCAACTCAAGCATGTGATGCACGAGTCATTGTCCCCCAACAAGAATCAGGTTAAGGTTGTATGCTTACCCCAAGAGATACTCACAAAGACTTAAGGAAGGAGCAAGAAATCAAGAAACATATGAACATTTAAGAGATAGGGAAAGAAAGGTCCTATACTCTTAATTTTCAAAGAAAAAAAAAAAGTTGAATTGTCATTGTCAATCACGACTCCCATCATTCGGGCGGTTTGATTAATTTGCATGGTGGAGAAAATGCTTAAAGAGCCGTACAAGAAGGGCACTCAAAGATGACTTCTCCAACCCATAAAATTCCTGCAAGACTTAGTCTCCCGAATTTGTGTATTGAAACTCAAAGATGACTTCTCCAACCATTTTACGGAATTTGACATCCTATGTTTCATCTCTAGTTTCTAATAAAATAACGCGCCCTTGCCTATGTTTTCATTGAATTTTGACTAATTTCTTTTTGTTGTGGAAAGTGACGCGGTGAGGGATTTATTCCTTTTCCCTCCTCCCAAAAGAGTACACAACAAAAAAAGAAATATGAAAAAGAAATCATAAGATATTTGATTAAAAAAGTGTCGGCAATAGAATATATATATATATATATATATATGTGTGTGTATGTTCTATATATACAAATGTGGTAATGTTTCTTTTAAAAAGATTCAACAAAAGGTAGGGTTAGAAGATTATTCCCTTGTGTTATAATTAGTACTTTACTTCTGTATTTTGTCTTTCACATAAATAAAAAGAAACAAAAAAGCTTATATGGAATAACATAAATTGAAATTTAAAATAGAAATGTGTCCGTTGAGATTCATGAGAAATCAAAATTTCTACTTTTTTGTTTTTATGAACAATTGAGACCTAAGACTATACGACCTAAAAAATAGAAGGAGAAAAGTCGAACTCTCGTCATGAATTTGGTTTAGGTGCGTTATTACTAAAATTACGATGTCACACAATTTCAATTTTAAAATATGAATCTTTTCCCAAAAAAAATAAATAAAAAATCATGGGAAAGTATACAAAATGTCAACGGACCTAAAAGAAACCTTAATTTTAAAAGAAGCTTGTTTTTTTTTTTTTTCATAGTTGTCTTTCACTATTTTCATATGATTTGATGAGCGGTCGACATCCCTGCCATCTGTTGCTGTTCCACTCAAAGACTTTCCCAAACTTCTTGCAACATACCGTGCAGAAAGCAACGTGGCACCATAGAGACTAGTTTCATGAAATTATTTTTTTTATTTTTTATTTTTCTATAAACAAGCATTTATCTTTTTTATTTATTTCGATGAGCCAATCAATCATGTTTTTTTTTTTTTTTTTTTTTTGGTCTTAAACCATGAGATGGTCCTGGATGGGCCCCAACTATGGGTGGCACCTTTAAACCTTAACCACAACCCAGACTAATCCCCACTCACACCGGGTCGGCCCGTAAGGGGTAAAGTGTTGGCCAAAGTAGTGACTCCGTACGAGAGCAGGGATCGAACCCCTGACCTCTCTTAAGGAATGAAAGTGCCGAATCACTCACACCAACCACCTTGGTTAATCAATCATGTTATTTTGAAATAGTCTTTATCCCTCAGTTTCCTAAACGAAGTCAATCTATAAACATAATTAACCCCTAAATATCGCTCTCCACACACCACCACCATCACCCACCCGCCCTATGACTACCCACGGGGGCCACAACCCATCCCATCTTCACAAACTGCCACCCTTTTTTCTAAGCCTAGATTGTTTTGCCGCCTTCTTTTGGGGCATGCAAAGTCATCATTGAAAACATGTTCTGAATTTTATTCTTGACAATTGGAAATTGCACCACCAAAAACTTCAATTAGGTGTGCATACAAAAATTCTTTGTCGACTTTCTCTCACAATATTTACCGTAACCCGTAAAGTTTTAAATGAGTGGCTCTGAAATAAAGATAATATAAAAATAGCACATACAAAGACATACTTCTAATTAAAAAGATCGTGTTATGATCCGATGTTTGAAAATTTTATCATCCTAGGCTTCTATGTTATTGTACTCCATTCTAATTTAACTAAATGGAATTAAAAAGTACAAAAAAAGGCTATTGTCGATTGCTTTCACTTCTAAATATTTAAAAGAAAATAATAAAAGAAGACAAATTTAGGGGTAATTAAGGTCCATCGAGAGCAGAAGCATTTTAATCAGTGCTTCCTATTCGTTTTATGTATATCATTATAGCCGACACTTTAGAGTGGTGGTTAAAATATTTGATTAAAGAAGACAAAATTTAGAAGTTTACCGTGAATATGAAGCTGTAACCGCGTTTTAGAACCTCCAACAGAAACCAAGTTCTTCTCCACATCATCTTGATGAAATCTTGAGACATGTAAAGCTTCTCTCCCCCAAAATCAACACCGTCCGTTTCCAGCCGGTAGCAGTTGAGCCTCAGAAACTGGCAGCGATCGTAAGCCGTCTGATCAACCGCCACGAGCACAAGGTGATCAAGCAGATGCCTAGTGTCCTCCCCTTGCCAAAAGCTCTCGATGAAAAGGTCAAGCATGGTGGTGTCTGCCTTGACCTCTTGGACTGCGTAGGCCTTGTTTATAACAGCAATGATCACAGTCTTGTTGCCAATCGAGGCCTTGTCCAGGGTGGCCAAAAGCTCATCTGGAGCCACATTAAATGTGGTTGTGGTGGTGGTGGTGGTGGTGGTCTGTGAAAAAACACACAAGAACAAAACAATTTAGAAACTGAGGCGAAAGCTGGCGTGCGAGCAAGCGCACTAAAGCTCTAGCGGTTAAGAGCATTTAAGTAACTTACTGGATTCTGTGATGGGCATTGGGCGTCATGTTTCTGAAAGCTAAAGAGAGGGTTTATGAGGTAGGATGAAGAAGACCATATACAAAGATAAACAGCACTAGCCAAGAGTAAGGAGAGAAGGGCAAGATTGGATCCAATAGAGGAGTGTTTTGGCTGATTATCCATTTGAGTGTGTGCGTTGTGTTTTGTGTATATGCGTGGTTGGTTTTTGGTTTTGGGGTTCTAAAATTAGAGTGCTAGATTTTCGGGCATTTGGATGAGCTCAAAGCCTCTGAGGGGAGAAGAATGAGGCGGATGAACGAGTAGGTTGTTAGGTAGAATAGTCATGTAATGCGCCTGAGGGACTTCGGTGCCATCAAACTTTTCAAGGCTTTATAGTGATTTTTTGGGGTAAATTATTGGCTTGGGCTTTTTAGTGTTTGTTGGTCAAAAAAAGACTTGAGAGACTAATTGGCCATAAAGTTCATGTTTTCCTTTTGGTGAGTAACTTGTGAAAAAAAAAAAGAAAAAAAAGCCTAGAATTCTCTTTATATGCCCTGATCTTGAGATGGAGTAGCCTCCCCACTAAACTTTTTGTCATCAAAACAAGAAAGATATAAATGTTTTTCTTTTTGGTTAGATATACCATACATAATTGAGTTTAAAAAAAATTAGGTATTAGTGATAAAAATATTTACTGATAAAGAAATGTGTATTTTAGTTTTGGGCTTGGTAACTGGGGTTTGAATTTTCAAAAAAAAAAAAAACGAAGGTGAATTATGTTGCATTATGATAATATATATATGAGAATTATAGAATACAAACAGTAGTATAAACCACGTGGTATAACTTGTATACGTGTTATAATATGGGTAGACGACACGGTTGATATTTTATCATTTTTAGGAAATAATATTGTTGGCACTAAAAACTGAATAGATGGAGATGAGTGCAACTTACAAGTGGGATGGACGATCGAGAAATCGATTGGATGTTGGATGCCGATTCTTCCTGTCCTTGGATGCCGATCCTGAATAGAAGATAAGCGAAGCTCGTGAGGTCTATGGAACCGGTGTGGAACCAGCCTAAGACCCTCCGATGCTCAAGTAAGATTGTTTTTAAGAGCTCTTGCTGTTGACCATATAGAAGTATAAAAGTCAAGCTGAAAAGTCTTACCCCTGTATTGTAGTAAAGGGGCTCATTTATAGAGGGCATCTTGTGTGCTCTTAGTACTCATTTTCGATGTGGGACTCGTGGGAGGGCCCTATGAGGTTGACACGAGTCCTTAGATATTTTGGGCGGATACTTCGAGTCTGATTCTCTACAATCGGTAGGGGAGGCCGATTGTAGACGAGTTGGGCTCGTAATGGCTGTTCGCAGCTTTGAGACAATGCCATCGGTGGCCGATGCCGATTGTCCGAGGCCTTGGGTACTTGGGCGAGTTTATAAGATCCACGTGTCGTTGTACGAGTGGAGGGTCAGATATAGTACAAACAAATATCAATAAATATTCACTTATATTATAACATATGGACAAATTATATCACGTGACCGTACTACCGTATTACATTATTCTATAATTACTCACTTAATTGGGCTTTAGTTTGGTTTCCCATCAAAGTCCCTTTTTCTTATTTTTTGGCTATAGAATTGTTGTCTATAACTTGAATTCAAAATCATAAACATGTCTCACATTAAAGTCTATAAAACCTCAAATGATTGAAAAGAACCACTAAACCGTCTTGTGAGTGCGTAACTTGTGTCTAAACAATTAAGGAAAGTTAAACTAATTTATTTTTTTGGATACTTGGTTGGTCTCCCACTTGCCAAAAAATGTCAAGATAATGATGTACCTACTACCTACGCACATTTGTCCTCTTCTTATTCTTTTGCTACATCTATAAAACATTGGAGAGAAACTCACTAACGAATGATGACGTATAATATAATTGAAAGATCCATAAAATAATGAATCAAAAGCTTCATCGTACATATATGTTAGAGAATATATCAGGTAGCCATTTCCTTAGCAGATTCCAAAATGCCTATATACTTATTATTAAAAAAATATATATATTAAAGCCAATTAATAAAGTTGAGAGAAATGTTGCTTAAACTTAATTTATTCATCTCAAAAGAGATTCCAATCGCTTAAACTTAATTTATTTATTCAAAGGTTTGGCATAGTATTGAGCATGCGTGATTAACGTGGTTCAACCTACAACCCAAGTTTAATCTAAATTGAGTTTTTGTTGGTAAAGATATTTATATACACGACAAGTAAAGTCACATATGATTAGAGAGGTCTGCATTGATTACTGTTTCTTCTTGTAGTTTAAGTGGTTAAAAGTATTTATTTATGTCCTCAAGTCTTAGGTTCGATTCTCCCTTCCCAAATATCGCTTGTATAAAATAATAATAATAAAAAATCAAATTTTATTAATTTATTGGACCACAAAATCTATATCCTCCATGGTAATAAAAACAAAATTTTTTACTCTGTGATAATTCTCAAGAAAATAAATGGTTGAATATTTTGTTGTATTAAACAAACGTCAAATAGTACAATGCCTTTTATTAATCCTACTATTAAGGTTTAGAAGCCGTGATTTAATATTAGTGGAATTTGACCTACACTAATTTGGGCGAGTAAAGATATTACAAATATTTACAAAGATATTTCTTAATAATAATGTGATTCACATTTGATATATGTATGGATTTGAGAAGAGTAATTCTTACTAATTTCTACTATGATATCAAAGCACGTATATGAGTTTGTTTTTGAGAGTTGAGATCTTTTATTAGGTGACATCAATGCTTTCATGGTTTTTACCATCACCGTCACGAAAACCAGGAGGAGGGGGAAGAAGAACTTCCCCTTACTACTATCCTACTTACGTTACGTCTTCAATCTTCATTTAATGTGAATGGCTGATGGATGGGCTTGTAGTTCGTAATATTTTTACAGATTTTCTTGTACGAAAAGACGATCTGTCGTTTTCCCAACGCAACAACCGAGATTGATGGTTTCAGTGTGACGTGGCGTCGTTTTGAGCGTTCGTCGTCAGTTGGAGGGTTTGAGTTTTGCTCATAAAGGTTGATTTTCTTGGGTTGTTCAGAGAAGTTGAAGCTGATCATCAACCCCAGAATCTTAAATTGTATATAGATTATAATTGGATGACAGCACACCCACTGCTTAATTAATTATCAAGTAACAATGGCATAATCTGTGGTTAGTTAAACAATCTCCAAACTCCAAAAAATTATCCGAAAATTACCACATGCTCGTAGTAACGTCTACTATTTTTCCGTGGAATCAAAACGCCAAAATTCTAACTTCAAATTTTCAAAGAATAATTTCTCCTTTGAATTCAGGAAAATCCATATTACCTTAAATTAGACAAGAGCTCTATTTCCGGGGCACAGGTAGGAACTAGGAATTAATGAACTAGTGAGCTCTATTTCATTGTCTTGAAATGGACAAGTAAGTACAAGAGCCTAGTACTGGCATGAATGTTCATTAATTCCTACTGCACAGTTTACAGTTTGTTGTGGTTGGATTTGGCTAAGTTTGTGATTGAACTTTCAATTGGATAGGCCATTTTGTTCCTAGAGTTTTCCCATATAGCGGTACAAACTGGACAAATCAAACCAATTTGAACAGTTTAGTTTGGTTTTGAGGTTTTATTTACTTGGGCCTTTTTTTGTTCCAGACTAGTTTATTTACTTGGGCTTTTTTTGGTTTTGATGTTTATTTGTGTCATCATCTCCCTTAAGAGTTAAGACCAAAATAATTATATATATATATATATATTTTTTTTAAAAGTTGGGCTGACCAATAGGGAAATTCAGTGGCATCCAACTATTTTTTCTGGGGCACCAGACCAACTGAAAAAAGAGCCACAAGGTCTAAAAGACAGGAAAAGCTTATTTGAGCACATACTATTTTTAAAAATGGTCCACCATGATTTACCCCAAACCCAATAACATCATAATCAAGTGAAGAAGAAAAAAAACACAATGAATATTGCACACTTTTCTCCCAGAAAAGAGAAGGAAGCACCCAGAAATAAAAAGAGGGTTGAAAAGAATGAACAAAAGTGTCAAAGAAGCTGTCAAGGAGAGACAGAGAGTGAGAGATTAAAGAACTCTGCAGATGTTCAAATTTCTCTTTTGCTTCTTGGACTTTGGAGGATGCAGAGCCAACTTGATAGCTGCGTCAAAAACAGTCTTCACATTCTGCAATTTTAACAATAAGATTTTCAACATATGCAGTTCCTCATGAAGACCAAGAATTGACTTTTACGTACTGGAAACACATTTTTCTTTTCATGAGCACATTTGCACATGTGAGGCATACCTGCTGTTTCTTTGAGCTGCACTCTATATATGCCACAGCTCCTATTCGTTTTCTCAGATCTTCACCCTAAAATATTTAAGAAATGCTTTAGAATAATAAAAAATAAAATAAAATACCCACACAAAAAAAAAAAAAACCAGCACCAGAAGTTTGTGGCATAATCCAGTTCAGCTTTAGGAATTAAACACACCATAACGTGACAGCAAGGGCATCATATCCACTAAAAAGTAAAACGTGTTCAATGATTAGTGAACTTCCTGGTATAATATTATAATGAGGTCTAGAACCTTGAATTTCCTTTTGTTCTTTTTCTTTTGTTTTTGATACGAGTGATATTGGGGAGAAGAGTTTTCTCTCACACACACTGTCAAAGTGCCACGAGGGTTCGGACATGAGACTACTGGTTTGTAAGTCAAAGCCATTTTTTCTTTTTCTTTTGTTTATCTGCCTTATTAATATCTAAACAGCAATAACAAGGACCAATAATTTTGCCACAGCTTTTACAGAAGCATGTTTGTGGAAAGGCAAAAGGTAGCTGTAGTGGAAAATCTACCTGTTGTGTTGAGATGGTACATGCCCCAGGGTAATCCATTAGGAACTGTCTGTCCTCTCTCAGATCTGCAATACCAGAAAAACCATATTTTTCAGACAGAGATAAAAAGAAATATTCTTGTTTCATGCTTCACTTTTTATCATTCTCAACCAAACGTACTCAATTATTTAGAGAATGCAGAAACTGCACACTATACAGCTAGCTCTGTCAATCCATTTTGCAGAATGTGGAAAAAATTGGGTTTGGTAGTGGAAAGAACGGATTACCTAGTTTGGTCCCCACCAGAATTATAGGCACTGATGGAGCATAATGTCTCAGCTCAGGGACCCACTTCTCCAACATAACAAGAGGTGAAAAAGAGAAAGGCATAGAATCTGATTAGTATATGCATTAGGTACATGCAAATAGGAAAAGTGAATCTTTGAGAAGAATTTAATAGATAAAGAAGAGAGATAAAGAAACCTACTTTCTTTGGTATGTTCTCATAGCTAGGCCTACTTATGAGGGAAAAGGCAAGAAGGAAAACATCAGCTCCTCTGTAACTCAGTGGCCTCAGCCTGTTGTAATCTTCTTGACCTGCATATGAAGATTTCATAGATTGGAAAAAGGAAAATGTTTTTCAAAGGCAAGAGAAAACTTTTATTGAGACTGGTTTTTTGCTGTCACATGTAGATGTCATTCAAATGCATTATTTTCTGCTTTTTTTTTTCTTCTCAAGTTGATGGAAAAAAATTGCACTTTGCTTTCCTTAGCACCTGAAGTATAATGATTGCTGCATCTAGCAGGAGCCCTTTTAGGATCTCATGCAGTAGTGCTCACACCACCTTTTCTCACATTACCAAAAACTTGACATGTTTGAAACATCAATGAGAAAGTGCTTATAATATAATACGGGAATATAACTGATATATATATTATTGCTTTCGTAATTAATCATATCTTTAATATTTCTTTTTTTCTAAAACCAGCTTTACAGTTCAATTTTCTAGAAATTTTTCCTTTTTATCTTGAAAGTATAACATTCATTGTCACCTATTGATATTATGAAGAAGGCTTTCTGTTTTGTTTCATTGCTAAGGATACATGGTTCTTTCTATGGAAGGTTTTGGATGGTTTGTTCTTTCTATTGACATGAAGTTCAAAGATGCAGACTTAAGCCAATTTAACTTGAGAAATAAATCAAAACAAATTATCAGATAACTTTTGGTGATGATAAAATCAAACAAAAATACCATTTTTATGTTTTTCTTTGTTGTGGTAAACAGTTGATCTCCACCTACATGTCATACATAACTAAATTGACAGAAATCTGAAGTACAAGCTAGCAACCAAGGATCAAAATTCCCATTGAGCATGTAAATTATACATGAGAGAGAGAGAGAGAGAGAGAGAGAGAGAGAGTACCAGCAGTATCCCAGAGACCCAGATTTACAGTCTGCCCATCAACCAAGACATTGGCACTGAAGTTGTCAAAAACAGTTGGAACATAATCCTGCCAATTAAGAAGTTCAAAAACAAAAATGAACCCAGAAAGAAAAATCAGTAAGGAACTAAAACTCAATGAACCATTGACAGAAAGGAAAGAAAGTTTATACAGTAGGGAAAGTGTTGCTGGTGTAAGAGATGAGAAGGCATGTCTTCCCAACAGCTCCATCTCCAACTGTCACACATTTGATGAACCTTGAAGTTGATGCTGCTGCTGCTGCTGCTGCTGCTGCTGCTGCTCCTCCTGTTGTTGTTCTAGTATTAACATTAGCCATATGGCTTGGCTACACATGTACACACAAGTAATGAAGCAATTAAAACCTCTCTCTCTCTTGATGTTTTTCTTGGAACCCAATTGTCTCAGTGTTTCTCTCTCATTATGTGATGGTGGTTGTACAAAATTTGTTGAAGCTTTTTGAGGGGAAGGGAAAAGAAGGTGATTATTGAGATCACTTTAATTTGAGCTGTCATGGAGGCAAAAGGAGGTAAAGGAAAGGCAAACCCACAACGGAGAGAAATGAATCGTAGTCATAATCAAATACGAAAATGGTAACACAATCAAAAAAATTAAGAAAAAAGAAAAAAAAGAAATGGTGACAAAATCAGATAACCCACTTTAGACTTTAGAGTGCATGTGTGGTGTTTATTTGCCTTCTACTTGGCTAGTTGGCTTGGCCTTTTCTTTTCATTACTGTTTTTGTTGCTTAAAAATTTACTGTTTACTGCTTTGACAATTTACTAGGGGGTTAATGACGCAACGAAGATGGGGTTAATGACGCAATTGGCCTATGGTCAAATGGACATTTGGGATTTCATAAGTTCATAACAACCTGATTTCTAGCTCGTCTCGTAAGATAGTACCTTTTGTTTTGTTTTGGTTTTACTAAAACTAGGTACAAAAGGATTTTATTCAACATATTCAAGCGTATTCCCAAAAACCATGAGTAGTTACTATGCCATTGATAACATTTTTTTTTATACAAGCAATATTCTAATTTAAACTAATCTAAACTATAAGGAGGGAGATTCGAACTCGGGTGCAGAGTGAGAAGCACATCCGTTTTAGCCAACTTGGCTAAGCCCATGTCTACATTCCATTGATAACATTAGATGATGATTTAAATTCAAATCTCGATCATGTGGTCAAAACAGAAAGAGGGCAGCTATTTGTACCACATTTACGAATCACATTGTCGATCACCTCTCTAATACAGATGGGTCACATAATAAATATGATAGAAATAATGTTATTGATTTAGCCTCAATAGTCATTTCGTGTTAGAGCTTTTATATTACCCTAAAAATATAAAAAAAAATTGTCTTCAATAGATTGAGAGGTGGCAATGAAATTCTCCACTTTACTTCTGAGCTAGTCAACTTAGGTGAGTAATTGATAAATCACGGCATGATTTTAGTTCCCTTTCAAAGAATTTATTATTTATATACACTGCCAAAGGTCCCAATCCATTTGAACTTGTGGTTGCGTCCATTCCAAGAATGGCCCCATATTTGCACACCGTTATATCTGTCTGGAAAGAAACTTGAAATAAGAGCAAATAAAGACTCTGCTACCATCATTATATATACATCTGTCTTTATAGATTTTTTAATTAATTAAAGTTATATTTGTAAGATTTATTTATTAACTCTTTTTGTGTGTTCCAAAATTAAGAAAGGGGAGGGGGAAAATTCACACACACGGGTACTATGGGAGCTTGAACCCAGGACCACTTGGGAGCACACCAAAAGCCCGTGCCAATCCAACTAACACTCTATTGGTGATTTCTTTACAATTTTCAGTCCCCCTTTTTTCAATCTATCTTGCCAAACACAAGGATGAATTGTGAAGACTTATAAGTCTAGTGTTAGGTTAAGTGTCTCGAGATGGTATATGATCTCTAGACACTATTTCTTTCATACCGGTTTTGTAAGGACAAGTTGTATCCATGAGTTCATACCAAATAGTTTTTCTTTCCCTTTGGAGAGACAAATGTGAGAATAGATAATAAGAGATGAGAGAGCGTCTCAAAGAAAAGAGAAGAAGAAGAGAGGGTAAGGCAGATCGTCGAATTAAAAAGAATTGTTATTTAGCTTATTTTTGAAAAAAAAGATGGGATTGTTTTGTTATGAAAGAGAGAATTAATTCATTACACTTCATCTTGTCTTGGAGAAATTATTGGATGGAATTGAACTTCAAAATTCAAATTAACTTCAAATTTGGGCAACAAATATTATAATCTTGTAGATCAAGTCTCCTGATTGTTTGGCACAAAGGCAACATGGGTAAAAAAGCCTTCGTCTTGGGCCTTCTTTTAAAAAAAAATCTCCTCAGTAAAGCCTGTTTTCTAATTTTAGACCAATTTTTGCAGTTCCTTTTTAGATAAGATAGGTGTACCCTACAAATAAAAGACCAAAGAATAACCTACGTACTATCACTAATCTTCACTTTTTTTTTTCCCTTGAATTTTTGTTATTCTCATTGTTCTGTTGGTGTGTTTGTTTAATTTTTGAAAAGTTAATGCGGTAATTGCACAATTTTGCACGTGAATATACACGAACAGACTCGTTTTCGCTTAATTAGATTTAGGACACTACACATAAGTTTTAATGTAGAAAAATATTAGAGATGTGCAAGTGAAAGAAAAAGAAGACTTGGCCTTTGCCTTTGGGTGGTAACATATATATTTCCTACACTTTTTTTTTGCTAACACTTTTTTTTTCGGTTCAGCAAACATAAAATGATAAACTAGAATCTTTTTTTGAAAGAAAAAGATCAATTAGATTAATTAATATTCTATTGTGGGAATTAGGCCGTAATCTTCTAGGCTTATTATTGCTCATTGTCTCATTATTACACAGATTCACAATCTTTTATTTATATATTATTTTTTAGAACCACAATCTTTTAATTGTTTTAATTCTGGTTTTTTTTTTCTTGTCAAACATATTAATACAAGCGCTTGAAAGTTAAGTTACCTATATACACTCAAAACTAAAATTAATATGCCCTAATAATAATCGTAAGAATTTTTTCTTAATTACAAGGTAGAAATTAATTAAATACAACTAGTTCCATAATTCAAATTCAAATTAATTTTCCTTTTGGTATAATATAAGAATCTTTTATGCTGATTTTTTGGTATATAATTTCACAAATTAAGATCACACATGCACGTAGACTGATCGTCATGAAAAGATCATCCTCATCATCAATCTTATATAAATTACAAAATTTTAGGACTTAATTCCCCCCATTTTTTTTTGTTGAGAAATTGATTTGTTGCAAAGTCAAACAAAATTATAATATATATACACACACAAAGAAACTCTCCAAAATGAACTTAAAAGTTATTTTTAACCTTTCTCTTTGATCTTTGATCTCCAGATATTGTCACCATGGTTATCTTGAGAAAACTTCCCAAGAGGACCCAAGGCCGCAAGAGAATCGAGATCAAGAAGCTCGAAAATCTCAACAACAAGCAAGTCACCTTCTCCAAGCGCCGCTCTGGAATATTCAAAAAGGCAGCGGAGCTGAGCGTTTTGTGCGGCGCTGAGGTGGGAGTCATTGTTTTCTCCACCGCGGGCAAAGTGTTCTGCTACGGGCACCCGAATGTGGAGACAGTGCTAGACTGCTACCGTAGTGGGGTTGCTCCTTCTACGGTGTCTGATGACACCGCAGGAGACCAAAACCCTAATAGAGTGCCCATGGCGGAGTTCAACAAGGAGTACATGGAGGCAATTAAAGAGTTGGAGGAGCAGAAGAGGAGGGTTGTGGAGGTGAAAGAGGCGGTGAGGATGAGGAAGGTGGTGATGGGGGTGGTGGGTGGGTGCGGTGAGAGGTTTTGGTGGGAGGATGAGAGTGTTGATTTGGATGTGTTAGATGTGCAGGAAGTTGAGCATTACTTGATGTCATTGGAGAATGTGAGGAAGAAGGTGGCTGCTAGGCTTCATGAGGTGAGAATTCTGAATGGGACATTGACACCGGGGGCGCTGCCGCCCTTACCGGCAGTTCATCGGCTTTGTCACTTGCCGATGATGACAAATGGTTTTGGTGCTCAGGGTGGCCAATTTGGTGGTGGTTATCACGGTTTTGGGGTTTAGTTTAGAGAGCCTTCAAGTATTTTGTATTTGTAATTGTATTTTTGTTTTAAATTTTTTTGCTGATCATGTGTTATGCTTATGCAATAAAATGGTTGGGTACCTTCTTGTGAAGTGGCAATGTCTTGTGCTACAAATTGTTGGATACATTCTCCTTAGAGCATTTCGCCATGGAAACTCATGCAAAAAATGAAGCAAAAATGTGATCGAAAACAAGTTTCTTTGTATGTTTCCAATTTGTTTACAATTGACAATATATTCATGATTGTGGTGGGTATGGCCAACCTGTCCGATCAAAATTATGGCCCATATCATTAATAACCCTAACTTGTTTTCCATGCCAACTGATGAGTTCAAATCAACATTTAACTCAAAATTAATTGATAGGGAATAAAAAAGCTTAAATCTTTGTAAGATCGCTTAATTATGCATTCAAGGGTACTCGAATTTGAATTTCTTCTCTCCCAATATCGTTTCATAAGCAGGACAAACTGAACCACTACAAAAAGTCTCCTACAAAACATCATTTGAATTTCTTCTCTCCCAATATCATTTGAATTTCTTATCTCCCAATATTGTTTGATAAGTCTCCTATAAAATAAAGTCTCATTTTGAGGCTTGTTTTAGTAATTTCCACTTATTATGTTGGGCGGATTAGTTTGAACAAAAGGTTCATACTGAAATAATATAAAATATGAAGGGCTTGACTAACGCAATTGAACTATAAGAGGGGTAAACTGCAATTAATCTTATTTTCACAGAGAGACCGGGAGAGAGAGAGAGAGTAGGAGAAGCGAGCAATGGCATCGAAAGCGTCAACACCGCCGTATCCAAGCGCTGCTAGAATCTCTGATTCTCAATGTTATCCTCAGTACACTGCGTCTCTAAAATGTAAGCTCCTTACAACCCTAATTTCATTTCTTCTTCTTCTTCTTTTGCTTTTATAATTACTCAATAACTCCATCTTAGCCCTTTTATCCAATTGGAAAAGCATCGACTTACTTTCACTTTAACTTTTTTGATAATTTTTCTTGATGAGTCCCCAAGAACCATTGGATATCTTCGATTTTAAGCTTTTTTTATTAAAAAATAAAATAAAATAAATTGGTACTGATTTGAGGCTCTAATTTTGTGAATTTATGCTTAATTTTGAGTTTTGAGGCGTTAATTTGTATTTGTATCGGCCTTGTGAGTTGGGTTTTTGAAAATTTGTAGTGTTTGTTTCAAAAGTTCATTTTTTGTTTTGTTTTGTTTGTGGTGGTAATCTGGTTTTAGTTTGCAATCACATAATTAAAGCTACATTGTGGAGTTTAGAGGTTACTTTTGGTGGAAATTGGATAGAGTTGCTGATGAAGAGGTGGCTGTGTCATTGCTCTTAGAACTATAGAGACTTAATCAACTCGAAAGCGCAACGATACCCATGATTAGTTTTGGAAAGAAACCATTGAGGATGTTCCATAAAGCCTACCCCAGTTTTCAAAGGCGTGCTTTAACCACTGTTTTAGTTGACAGGTTCCTTAGTGCCTTCACTTTACTTGATCCAATGTTGTAGTTGCTTTGAAGTGTCCAGGCAGTCAGGTAGTGGTCTAATACTGAAGCATTAGGCTTGGAAAATCACCTTTGTGGAGAAAAGACTTGTATTTGGTGTTGCTTGCCTGGGTTGTTAGTGGAAACTTAGCTGATATGCAGCAGACAACTAATTAGCCGATTTTCGTGGGCTACCTAGTAGCTGAAAATAAGAGCTATTATTAAGTCTGTTCATCATACCAACTGAAACAACGTCTCAAACACAAAGCCTTTTTTTCCCTAATACTTTTTTTTTCATGGAAGCCTCAAATAAGATTCATCACAATATAACGAGCACCACATCTCACAACTATATCTTTGGGTGATTTAGCATTCTAGGAACAACTCTTTTTTGGCCAGGCATTTCTAAGACCAACTAAATTACATATTAACAACAGATTTGTCATCCACATGGTATAGACATCGATTAACTACTTAATAATCTTTTGTCGAACACCACAATTGATTAAATACTTTTGGATTAAGACACTTTCCTCTTTAAGCCTCCCCTACTGCCCATGCCATTTACATTTTTATCCTCTTTAAGTTATCCATCCTCTCTGGTCTGTGACATTTTTGACTGCCATGTAATGGATTTCTTTTTCTTGGTTACTTTTGATTTTTCCTTGTATTTTGCTAGAGTGTGATCATAAATTGGACATGAGTATGTGATTTCTAGCTCTGTTATCCGATGGCAATACTGAAGGGTATACGTTGCATATAAATATAACAAGTTCCTATTTTTTTTTGGTTACATTGGAGGAAAGAAACCCCACTGGGGTTCGATCCTGGGTGCCATGGGGGGAAGGGGGAATCCACCACCACTGTGGTGGGAACCCATTGGCAACAAGTTCCTATTTTAGTATCAGGTAATGATGAAGAGAGCTTTAGTTTTTACTTCTTAGTTGTTCTTTGCACACACACACGTGCACATATTGTTTGATAGAAAATGTGCTGGAAAGATGCTATTGAGGACGGAAACAAGTTTGATAATTGTATTGTTTCATGAATTTACTTCTTAGGTACTCACTCCTAAAAGTTAAATCTCCAGTAAAATTTTGCCAAATATTGATTCCTTTTGTAAACTTTTTCAGGTCTAGAAGAATATAATTCGGACAAGAGTAAATGCCAAGAACATTTTGATATTTACAAAGAATGCAAGAAAAAGGAGGTATTGGTGCTTTCAATCACTTAATTGCTCTGTATTTGTTATTGATAGTAACGAAAGACTGGACATCCCATTTGAACGCATGAACTTTTAATATAATGGTGGTTTCCATTATCCCTGTGAGGTCCTTCCCAATAAGAAATATATTAATGGGTTACTTATATAGTTTCAAGAGTTGTGTGCAACTTAACCTTCATCTGCTTACACAATGAAGTCCCAGGGGTAGTCCAAAAATTACAGCTGTATAATTATTGTTTGTTGCATGGATGGAATACAAAGTCTTTCAGTGGCATCTCATTTTCCATGGTTTACCTACTACTTCACCAATAGTCAGAGGATATAAGACATCATCTGTTTGCATTTGTCCTCCTGTACACTGCTTGTTTACTTATATGGTTTACATTTTGTATCAACAGAGGGAAGCTCGATTGGAGCGCAACAAGACTAGGTCCCTTTTCTCTTGAAATTGCTTTTGGGATCTTCCCCTCGCATCATAAGGCCCAAAAGTTAGTTTTGAGCTCATCAGGGCTGGCGTTAGATTTATAGAGTGCTATACTTGATACCGAAACAAATGATAGAACTGGCTCAATTGTTTATGCCAGAGAAGTTCAGAATTTTCTTCGCATATTGTGCCATCAGTGAAAGAATGATGACTGTTTTGGATTGTCTGCAAACAATGCTAGACTTTGTTTCCATTCCAAGTCTGAAATGTTGATGATATGTTGTGTAGCATTTATATATTTTCCAGGATCTCATCTTCATTGCAAATTTACAAGAAAAGAAATGAAAAACAGCCTGAACATTTGAGCCAAATCTAATCTGATTGGTGAATTTGCATGTATATTCTTTCCCCTACTCAATCTACGTTATTTTGAGTAGCTGACCTGTGTATATGGAGCATGTTCTCCTGTCATAGTTATGCTGCCATACTTTAAATCTGGACACACACATTTGGCGATAATCGAGCTAATCAATGGTTTATATTCACAGTATGGTAACATAAGGCATTTTAGCAGGCTGGCGAGAACATTTTTCTATATATACACACAGCTATATATAGGGTAATGCTGTCTTGCTAGATACATGTTATGTTGCTGGATATTTGAGTCATCCAGATATATTTAAGTGATTCATACAATCCTTAATAATTATGGGAGAGAGACATCTGCCCCTCTTTTTTCTTCTTTTGTTTCATAGAAATCTGTTCATTTGCTTCTTTAACCATGGAAAATATTTTGGGAATACTTAGATCATCTACCCAGAAAAGAAAAGAAAAAAGCGTGGACAGATCAATGACCTAGTCATGAAAAAGCATAAATTGAAGAATGTTCTTTCCTTTTCTCTTCTTGTTTTGTTATGTGGAAATCTGTCCCTCTGCATCTAACTTTAATGATGGAAAATATTTTACAAAACATGCTGGGATAGATCACTGACACAGATTACATATTTAGCAGCATATTGTTTCCTGCAATTCTATGAAACATTATTTTCAGATACAGAACAAACTTAACATAGGAGTCCCAGAGCTTCTGGAACTTCACAACATTACACTTTCCTGACATGGAGAATAACACCATGCCCAGGTTCAGTAACCAGACTAAAAAGAGGGGCGTGCTGGTACGTTGGTGAGAGGGAGAAGCAGAACTTTGATAGAACTGAAGCAAGAAGCACCTTAAGTTCCGTCATAACTAAATGTTGGCCAACACAGATACGAGGACCTGTTCCGAATGGCATGTAAGCCTGCGGAGACCGACAAGCCTGAAAAGTTCCATTGGCAAATCTTTCTGGGTTGAACTCATGCGCATCGGGCCCCCATATGTCAGGGTTGTGCTGTAAAAAGGGGATTGGTATTTGAAGGATCACACCCTTTGGAATCACAATGTTCTTGAGTGTGACAGTTTCAAAGGCCTCTCTAGTTACAAAGAATGCAGGTGGGTAAAGACGCAACACCTCCTGAATCACCATTTTCAGCTGCAGACAATTGTAAGGTGGCAATCAAATTCCTTGTGTCCATAAAATTTATAGCATTAATTTGAGGCCATTTGATCAATTCTTCATTTGTTTATGCTATGCATTTTTTCTTAATTAGTATACAAGTTTATCTTTATAAGAGATAATTTCTTATGTGACATACTACTTTCATGCTTCGAAGCATATCTCCGTCTAGAGGTTTATCCCCGCAGATTTCGAGCACCTCAGCGCGAGCACGAGCTTGCCAATATGGATGTGCAGCTAGTAACATCAAGCTCCATGATGCTGCAATGGCGGTGGTCTCATGGCCAGCAAAGAATATAGTCTTGCAGTTATCGACAATGAACTTCTTCTGCGATAAGCCTTTGGAATCCCCAGCACCGGCAAGAAGCATTTGGAATAAATCTTCCTCACCTGAAGCTTCAATACGTTGTTTTACCAGCTTTAATATCATTGACTCAGCTTCCTTCTCTAATCTCCATGTTTCTCTGTTGTCTTTTGTAGGCAGCAATCTGTCACCATGGTGCAAGAGCAGACATTCATATCAGATGTATGTTTGTATGCTAAGGCTACAAATTTATTTGACAGAAATAATTTGAAGTGAAACCACTTATGAGCAAAAAAATTATACTGTTACACTAATTGGCATCCAAAATCTTAGAAATAAAATGCCTTGAAGATCTTTTTGTAATATCACACCTCAAACCCGGAAGCGACATGATTCCCTTTGTCAAAACTTTTTGCAGAGCCCTAAGTTTATTGAAGATTTCTTCGACTTGATCATATCTGTTATTAAAACAAGCTCTTGAAATTATATCTGCAGCTAAGTTTCTCAAATACTTATCAACTTTAATTTCTGCAATTCCTCCCTTGCTGTCGATTTCATCTTCCCAACTTCTTAGCATTGAGGTTGTAGAGTCCACTATTAGGTCCACCATGCCCTTAGAAAAGAGTTGAACAAATGATTTATAAATGAATTGAAAGCATGCCGAGTTAGTGTCTTAATGCTCTATTTTATTAGAATGTGAGCATCTAGACCAAAACTAATTAGTTGAGAGTGGAGATGTCCGAAATCATTTAAGCTATTACACAAAGCTTTAATTTCTGGACGTGGGATTCGCATTATCAACAAATTTAGCTCATTGGAGTTATTTTCAAAACAGGTCAATGCACAATATGTCTAAGATATTATGTTGTTACCATCAATATATGGTGCACATTGAAACAAGAATTTACCTAATGAAGAACAAAACATACCTTAACCTTGTCAAGATATAGCTCGGGAGCAATAATTCCCCTTTGATGGGCCCAAATTAAGCCATTCGATGATAAAAGGCCTTCGCCCAATAGTGGCCCAACAACCTTGGAAGTTAAAGAAGCCTTCCCTAAGTTTAGAGACTTGCATAGACCAATTTCCTTCACCACCTCTACATCTGTGATGCATAATTGTTGTACGTGTGCACTTGCATACATAAATATTTGCCCTGCAACCAATACCTCTTAAATCAAAATGTTTGAACACACCCCCCCCCCCCCCCCCC